GAAAATGGCGGAACACCTAGTTTTTAGATTTTAATTTTTTTCTAGCGTAAAAATAATTTTTCTTTGCATGAAATTTGGTGTAAGTGAAACTTTTTTAGTGTTAAATAAGCATTAATTTTTTGAGGCGACACTACTGCTTTTTTTTATTACAACTATTATTTTCTTCGCGGAGCCCCAGGGTTCCGCGGAGCACACTTTGAGTATCACTGGGCTATACATGTTGATAGTTTATTTTTATGGAATCAATAAGCCTGTTTTCCTGTACTTTTTTGAGAATTTAAACGGGCTGCTCTCTTTCTTTTGTAAAACGTTTCAGCTTTTAGAAGATTCAGTTTATGTTCTGTTTTCAAACGAGATAAAAGCGCTTTTTGTGAAGGATCATTTTCGATACTCATTTTCTTGGCCGAGCACAACGTCACAGGCACTGCAGGTATCCGTTCGTGGATAGCCAAGACTTATGTTGAATTTAGTTGCAAATATAGTTCTGTAAGTCTCGTAGGAAACCTTTTTGTCAGGATTTTGTTGCAAAAACATCTTTTTCACGTAAAGATCTTTCGGTAAATATACACATTGCGAGTCATGGAGACTGTAATGTGATTTTCGGCTTTTAAACGAAGCAATATGGTCAAAAACGGCAGTGGATATTTCATCTGGGAGACGATTTTTTTCGATTGGAATGTTGACCTCGCCCATCGTGTTTAACCAGGGCATGCTATTCCCGTGGCCAAAACTCGTTCGTGGTGCGCAATACGTCACTCGCAGCGTATTATTCAAATTCGCATGTACGGTTAAAGCGTATTTACTCTGTTTGTCTTTGTATTTAGATGTTTGGATTTTGTGTATCTTTAGAAAAAATGTCCGTAACAGCACAAAATTAAATAGTGTACACATGCTTAAAGATATAAAAATAAAGATATTAAATAAAATAAAAATTTTAAAATATTTGCCCATATTTTAAAATTTATATAAAATATTTTGTGTTGCTTTAGTGTTGAAGGGTAAATTAATTTGTAAATTAGAGGGAAATTTATTTGTAATAATATAATTTATACCGGGTGTCCGCGCGAAAACTTTGGATTACTTTATTTCTGATGGTTTTAAGTTGAGAGAGTGGATTTTTTTGGAATGTGATTTTATATATAGATTTTATGTTCAATTAACTTCATATTATTTTATCTAAATTAAAAATTAATTAAATAATTAAAAATATTATTCATTAACATTTGTGACCGGTGTAATATGGATACATTTAGGATAGTTTTTTGTGTTGCCTTAAATTCCTAATAAAATTAGCTTTAATATGAGGTCACACTTGGGATTATGTAACAATTTTGTATCCGCGCAGACACCCGGTATGTATATTGTTTGTGTCAAAAAACACTTGTGATCTTGCTTTAGGATTGAAAGGTGAATTAATTTAAAATAAAATAAATAATCTATATTTAAACAAAATTTATTAATAATAAAATACATAAATTATATTTATGGGCTAAAAACGTCTTAGAAAAAATAAGATATTAGAACAGTTATGTGGCAATTTTTTTCATCTTTCTTTTGCCTACAATTGGTTTTCTTAGCGATTTGTTTAATTCTTTGAGACGAAAATACATACGTGATCTAAAAAATAAATTTTTTGCTGAGTCTGAGCAATCAACATGATCACTTTTCGACACCAAGTTTTTGATGTAATTTTTGCAAACCAGTAGAGTATCTCCATTTACACTAGTAAAAATATTTTCCAGTTCCTCCATTTTTAAAAGAAATTCATCCGATGGTTTGCATAAACCTCCTTCATCCACGTGATCAAGCCAAGTATAAAATGGTTTGTTTGTGTATTCAATTCTGGAATAACCTAATTTGAAATAAATGTACCCTGCTAAATTTTCTAAGCCATCATATTCCAATTCGTGGAGTTCATGGGATATAACTTCATCTTGTTCATTGGCATTAACAACAATTAGTGGATCATTTACGATTAGGAGGGGATTATTACTAGTATCCAATTTATCTATCATTTGGCCACTCATGGGCAAGTCTGGAGTATCGTCTGCCTCTACATTGGAGAAATCTGAATATGCACCTTCATTTTTTCCCATAATATATGAGCGTAACCGGTATTTGAATTCTAGGGCATTGGGATGGTCATGGAGCCCTCCCTTTGCTCTAATTATACCAAAACAATTCTCCAAAATGTCTTGATTTAAACGCCGAGTAAGAATGTATTGCGTATCAAACCTTCTTTTTAAATCTTCAAGCAAAAGTTTCAAGGCATTGTTGGACATCAGAATACCTAGTTAAATTTTCACAAATTATTAAAAACAAAACTAATTTATTCAAATTATTTACCATCCTGAAATGGAAGAAAACTTTTTCTTCCTTTTACTCTGATATTTAAAACTTCTTCAGACATTCGATCGATTACTTCATTTTGCTGCTCAACTTCCAGGCCATAACCTCGGTTCCTGGCTCTTGTGTCACTAAAAGGTACACTGACGTTAAAAACGTCAAACCAATCGTTTACCTACAAAATAATAAATTAATAAAAACAAAATGTATTGCAATGAAATTCTTACAGTTTTAAAAAAGTCTGCACATTCGGTCCAATTCATATCACCAGGAAGATATCCAAGTGTTCCACATCTACTAATGGCTTTTGAAATCGTATGGGAAAAGAGCTTAGCTGCAAATTTAACTTTTTGCCTTTGTGCCCCAACTACATTAAGTGTCTCTTTCGAAATTTTGTGCGTAATTTTGAGATCAGAAACGGCTGTAGCATCTAATGTGGATTCTACAATAGATTTGTTGATTTCTTTTCCATTATTATGAATAAAACCTTGATCCACAAAATGATTTCTGATTAACTTCAAAAGATGGGGCACATCAGCAAAGACATATATTTTTTCCCCATTGCAAGGATTCAAGAAGTGAGGTTTTGATTTTGAAATTTCCAGCTCAGTATGAAGTCCTCTATTTCCACCTCCTAAATCAGAAACCATGGCCACTACTGGAAAACCTGCAGAATAATATTTATTAAAATTTAAAACTTCTGATGAATTTTTAGACATACCTGAACTTTCCAAAAAATTGATGATCTCAAACAAAGTTTTAGCTGTCATTTTAAAGTCATAATCATAAAAGATTGGTTGTTTCCATGACTTAAATAGCCCCCTCATCATGACTACTTGTGCATAAGCAAAAGGCTTCAGAATTTCATCTTCTAACCGATCATAGATATATTCTTTCCTGATTTTAATTTCATCAAACATTATAATGCAAACTCTATCGTTATTATTAAAATCAGAAAATTCTACAAGTTTAAAGATGTTTTTAAGAATCCCTGGTTGAATTTTAATCTTTTTTAGCCAAGCTCTTAGTGTGGAGACTGCAGGGTATGGAAACCCTTTTTTTAACATAAGCCTGTATGCTCTGGGTCCAGCGGCATATAATACAATGGAATTTGCAATTTCGGTAGTAGACCATTGAATGCGCTTCTGGTGCTTTAGTTTTGAAATTTGATTTTTGGAAAAAACCTTTTCGACGGCAGACAGTGTTTCTTTTAATTCTGCTACTTCTCTGGTTTTTTCATTTAGTGAGTTTGTCACAGAATCAATTGTGGTGGCAGTCACGTCAGTTTGCACCCTAAAATGTAAAACATATGTTAATAACAAATAATTAAGTAGCAAATTAGATGCAGAAATAGGTACATTCAAAACTACTTAAATTACCACTTATTATCATTAGATGATGTCGAAGGAATATCACTCATGCAAGCACCATCAAAATTATGTACCAGACTACTGCCCGAACTACTTAACGTACTATCATTATTTTTACCACCAGTACCATCACCAGACCTACTAATATAAAAATTACCAAAATTATGACAATGCCCAATTTTACACAAAGTTAAGAATATTGGTTTTTAAGGTTAGAAATTTTATGTGTACTTACGTGTTCAATAGTTCGTCAACCAATTGCTTTCTCTGCCTTTTTTTAATACTTGCATCACGTCCTGAAGCAGCTTCAGCAGGCTTTGCATTAGTGATGGGAAGACCCGGTTCATCTTGACGACCCGGGTCAGACAAGGTCAATCATTTGAATGACCCGTTCACAAAGATTCGTTCATATGAACGATATGACCAGTGAATGAGAATTTATACATCGCCTATGATTTGCACAGTACGCGCTGATGGTAAGACCCTGTCGGCTCTTTTTATGAACCGGATCATAATGGTTACAGTCTCGTCTCATCTCAGTTTATTGTTGAATATTCGTTACTAATTAGTAACAGATATCGATTGATACAGATTTATGATTATGACTATATTTTGAAGCCTTGGTACTTTTTACTACTCTCTCGTTTCAGTGTTTAATCGACCGCGATCACAAATCACGACCCCGTCATCATGATCATCGTTCACTGCTATACATTTTTAGTCATTCATTATATTCTGTTTAGTCACCAATTAATCAATGAAAAAACAGCTCTTAAATTCATAAGTACATTAAAAATCTCATAAATAAACAGGGTCATATGAACGATAGGGTCACGAAGAGTGATTGAATCGATCACAGGTCTTCGGGATGATTCGTTCTTTTTGAACGGGTCGTTCATGAACGACACATCGCTACTTTGCATGTACCCCATAGGGTAGTTTTAAGTTCGGCACTGCATGATCTTCTAGCGGACGATAACATTTTGGGGTATAGTTCAATAACTTATGTCGCAAATTTATCTTAAAGTCACTTTCAGCAAAGTGCTTGGAACAAACATAAGACGTTTTAACGTTGAACTTGTCTTTTCTTCCCGTAGCATGAATCCACTTTTTGCACAATTCTCCTATTTTCGGAAATCGGAAAAATTTTACGTTGGGACACGGATTTTTTTTCGATTCATTGTCAGAATGGCATCCGTAAACTGCACAACGCATTGTTTTAGATAATAAATAGTCAAAAAACATTCACAAACTCGTCTATTGCAAAGTAAATCACGTTAAAAACTAATAACAATGGTGAAAAGACGCTGCGAGTGACGTAGGCCAGCCGCTTAGGCTCCTCCCATTCAGGCGCAATATCTTATCTTTGTTAGTTATATCGTGGTGTTTAACATGTCCAAAAGTGGTTAACGGCTGCTGGATATTCTGAAGCCGTTTCGCCGATATTCCATGCATAGCTTTATAACATATTGGCACTTCTATAGCTGTATTATCTCTTTGAACACGAATTTTGTATGTGTACGAATATGAGTGATATTCAGCATCTTCATCATTATTCTTTCTACTTCGGTGTCGTTTAACGGGGCCATGTGAAATTAAGCCACCCAGATACAAATTTTGTTCATCATGATCTTTAAGTTCATTAAACTGTTTAATTATTTGCAACCTCTCTCCTTCGGAGACATTTTCAAAACACTTAAATTTAGTACAATTACAACTCGGGCCTGTTTCATGGCTTCGTAGTTTTAATAACTTAGCAACGTTCTTCATACGTCCAAGAGATTTCCGTTTCTTAGACCTTAGAGAAAAAACTGCACTATCAACTTCAATGTCTTCGTCACTCATTGTGAAATATTTCTATTGCACGTGGCACGAGAAAAAAAAACAGCATACAGCAGGTGGTCGATTAAACGGCACATGAACTACTGAAATATTTGCTTAATAAAATGGGAAAAAACATCGAGAGAAAAACGAAACAATGCGCGATTCCCATATTGATGGACATTCATGCACGATTGCCATATTTATGGACATTCATCTTTTTTCCCCAGTTCGCCGGGACGTTCATCTTTTTTCCCATGTGCGGTAAAATTTAGATTCGCTCTGGCTTGCTACTCTCATCTATTTTGATTGGTTTCAATATTTTATCGGATTGTTACAGCATTTTAGCATAATATTCCCGCCATTATCTTAAAATTATAATTTTTGGACATTCATCTTTTTTCCCCTGTACCCTTCATATATGTTAATGAAAATGCACACTGAGCCAGCGAATTTCATCTCCAACATACGACTTTCATCACAATATTACCATGAAAGAATTTCAAAATGTTTTTTCTCCCTTTTTATAATTACAATAATTAAATTATAGTGATATTACATGTATTCAAGTATTTTCATTAAAACGTAACACATTATTAACGACAGAAGACAAAAAATTAAAGAATTACAAAAATAATTGAAAATATTGAGAATTTTCTTTTTTAACTTTTTTCAGTTTTTCTCAATTTTGATTGATTCTACAAAAAAAAACAACATGTATTGACTATCTGAAAGTAGACATTTCAACAATTAAAATGAGCCCTTATAAAACCTTAAAATCGAGTATTTTTTCGAAAAATGTAAATATCTCGAAAACTGCTCGTTTTTAAATTCAAAAAATTCATGCTTATTTAACAGTAAAAAAAGGTTCATTTTCACCAAATTTCATGTAAATTAAATTATTTTCACTATAGAAAAAAATTAAAAACGAAAAAATCGGTTTTTCGCCATTTTCTCGAAAAATTCGACGTTATGTTGAAAAAGTCATATACAAAAGTTTTAGATTTTTTCATTATCTACAACTTTTGTATTGAACACTTTTCGCTAGGAGCTCACGTTTCACCGTAAAACGCAAAAGAAACGTTTTCAATCCCTAATCTGCACCTCCATCCCACTCCTTCCTATTATCTCATGTTTAAAACTTTTTGATTCTTTTAGTTATAACCCTAACTACATGTTCTACCTGGTCCTTACCTCTTTATGCATCTACATACAGATGAACAAAGTGACTTATTTAATTTAAAAAAAGAAGGACTTACATTTTTTAAAGATTGTAAAAAATTGATGCCCATTGTAAAGGTATCATTTTAGTAGCCGCGTCAGGAGACAGAAGACCACTGAGGAGACCAGTAGGACGACAGATGCATAAATGTTACGCTCCATACATTTCGGAAGCTTGAAGAAGTGTCGCACGACACTTGCAAATAACCATTCGATGGAACGATCAGCGTTGCCAGACCTACTGTTTTTACGTAGATCCAGTGTTTTTGTCTCTAGTAAATTTTGTTCTTAATTTATTAAGTTTGCCTCATTCTTCAGCAAATGGTTAAAGAATATTTTCTCTAGTAAATTTTCTGCAGTAAAAGCAACGTAATAAACATCCACTACTGTAGGTTGGCTCCATTAAAAAAAAATCAAGATAATCATTGTTTTTATTTAAAACGAAACAAAGAATTAATAGGTCATCATAAAAAGAACATGCATATGCCAAACACTACGATTTTGAATTATCTGATTCAGACTGATCTAAAAGAAGTAGGTACTTATTATTTTTCATTGTTTTTTTTTTCCTTACGTTAAGTATATAATAAAAATGTTTTTATTTGTTTTTATTCTTTGTTCTTTCTAATTTGGGTAGAAAAAAGTTTATTTTTCGTTTCTTATATACTTTTTTTATTTACTACACTGCAAATTATAATTATTTCCCCCTGTATTAAAATCTACTGTTCAGAGCTACGGTTTTTTTTACCCATACTGTTCCAAAATCTGGCGAAGCTGCCTAGATGGAAAGTAATTTCCAACCTCGAGTGCGACACTCCGAGACAGATTCACCGTGCGAAATGTGTTTCATATAATTGTATGTATGCGACACTTCTCGGTCGCGTCGGCGGTCGTATGTCGCGCCTACCGAAATGGTATCTTAATGGATGCGGTGACTGAAAGGGTTAAAGATAACGGGATTATAAAAATCTAAATCTCTAAATTTTGGAGATAAATGCTCGGATAAAAGCAAGCGACCGATAGGGGTTACAAAAATAACCGATTAATTGATAATTTTATTATTTTTTTTTTTATGAAAATCGATTTATCCGTTATAATTAATCGATTATTTTCGATTAATCGAATATTTTCAATAAATTATTTTTGATTTTTCAAAGATAGATTTTAAAGGAAATACAAAAAAATAGATTTATTGAAAATAATTGTTTGATTGAAAATAATAAAAATACTCGATTATTTATTTTTTTTAATAATTAAACGATTAATTATTAATCGTTTATTTTCGATGATTAATCAATTATTTTCGATTTTTCAAAGTTATTCGAATAATTTATTTTAAAAATACGAAAAAAATAGATTTAAAAATAATCGATTGATCGAATATAATTGGTTGTTTTATATAATCGATATTTCGGTTATTTTTTTAGAATTATCGATTTATCGGTTAATCGGCTTTTTAATTAATCGATTATTTTAGATTTATCGATTATCTTCGATTTATCGAAGATAATCGAATAAACAATTTTAAAGGAAATACCAAAAAAATAGACTATTTGAAAATAATCGATAATTTTATCGATATTATTTTTTTTTTTAATCGTTTTTTTGTTTTTTTAATAATTAAACGATTAATTATTAATCGTTTATTTTCGATGATTAATCAATTATTTTCGATTTTTCAAAGTTATTCATATAATTTATTTTAAAGGAAATTCGAAAAAAATAGATTTAAAAATAATCCATTGATCGAATATAATCGGTTGTTTTATATAATCGATATTTCGGTTATCGATTTATCGGTTAATCGGCTTTTTAATTAATCGATTGTTTTAGATTTATCGATTATCTTCGATTTATCGAAGATAATCGAATAAACAATTTTAAAGGAAATACCAAAATAATCAATAATCGTTATTTTTTGGAAAATTAATTTATCGTAGAATCTGCTTCTTAATTAATCGATTATTTTCGATTAAGAGAATATTTTCGAATAATGGATTATTTTCGATATTCAAAGATAATCGATTTTAAAGAAAATATTAAAAAAATAGATAATTTGATAGTAATCGATTGATCAAAAATAATCGATTATTTAAAAGTATCGATTAGTTTGGTTATTTTCTTTCAAATCGATGTATCGGTTAATCGGTTATTTTTGATTAATGGATTATTTTCGATTTTTCAAAGAATATCGAATAGTCTATGTCGAAGGAAATACGAACAAAAAAATAGAATATTTGAAAATAATCAGTAAATGTTTATTATTTTTTGGAAACACCAATAATTTATTGGATAATCGGTTTTTAATTAATCGATTATTTTCGATTTTTCAAAGATAATCAAACAATCGATTATTTTCAATAATTGATAATTTATTTCGATAATTGCCCACCCTTAGCGACCGAATGACTTTTATTGAGTTTAAATTTTAAAATATCCGATTTAAGAAATTTATAGAGATTTATATGACACATCTTCTATATTAATTAATATTCCCAAAGAAAGAAGCTTTAATATACATTTTTCTGAGGTTACTATACAAAACAGCAGTTTCTCATTTTGACTAATTTTTAATATTATGTAATAGCCGTAGAAAAAATATAATGTTCAACTCACAAGGTTTGATTTGCACTATTCGCCTATGCACATGCTGCTATTATAATATTCGTAGACAATATTTTATTTCAACATTTTATTGTGGTCCATAATAAATAAAAGCCCATGAAATATTCTATAAAATGTGGGGATCATAAAAATAAACACTTTCTAGTCGGATGGCTGTTTATTCCCACAAAATAAACTAATAACATAACGGCATTTTACATCATAACCAAAAATTAACATAACCTTAAAGTACCTCGCGTTACGAGATTATAAATCAGAATCAAAGAAACGGAAACACTAGTGACGGACTGACAACTGTCAAGTGTCACCTTAAACTGTAATACCGACATGGTTACTAATATTAACATGGCACGAAATACAAAAAAAACTGTTGTCTTCTCTTTATATAAAATGTCGTTGCATCTGTTTGATATTAAAAAATCACGTTAATTTTATTTCATAATACAACATTCCATTAAACACCTTTTTAGTAAATCTAATAGTTCATTAGGCTGGTAATAAACAAAGGCCGTCCTGTCACAGAGTTCGGGTCTCCCCCCAGTTCCCCCACTCCGTTAACCTTCTTAGAAATTGGCAACATTCGCGCAGGTTAAACACCGGTGTGAGTTACATCTCTGGTCTCTTTAATCTAAGTTAATTACCTATTTATTATTATTATTTTAATTAAAAGAATATTGAGGTTTTAAGTTAATGTAAAATGTAAAAAAAACGTTTTTATTTAAAGAGTAAGATATTAATTAAAATTGACAGCTTTGATTTGATGATGGTATATTTTATTAGCTAAGAGTGATTGGCTGCATTAATATCTTATACATTTTAAATGCGAATGTCCTTTGTCATCTTGGTATTAACTTAGATATTCCCATTTTTGCATGATTTCTGTTAAGTTTATGCAATGATTTTACGTTCCTATTTACTCGTATACCTGGTAACAATATTTATTTTTTTATTGATGTTTTAGAAGTTTTAACTTTACTTTCTCTTGTTTAAAGAATACGACGAGAAGATTTTTTTCACTATTTGTGAATCCCTCACAATGGAATGTAGTATGTATAAATATGTATAAATATATTTGATAAATTGTCAATAATTATTACACTATATTATAAAAGTTCAACTGCACTAGCAAAAAGTAGTCTGTTAGATTAGTAATTTGGATCACCGCATGGTCGGTTTCT